TTGAGACACCCGGTACCAGACAAATGCACATATTCTGACATATCACTCAGTACCCTCTCTGGACAACACTGTGAAGGTCACGCCTGGATCGCTGAGTTTAATGAATGGAGAAGACCCATCTTCTAGACCTTTCCGGGCCAGTAGGATGTTTTTAGCGCAGACATTTCCATGGACCAAATTCTTAACTTCCTGCAGAAAGAAAAATATTGATCTGTTCTATCATATCACTAAAATATGCCGTCATTTCTGTATAAAACGTAACTACAGTACATTTTAGCAACATAGCTATTCCACAAAGTAGAAAACTAAGACCTTGTGGACTCACACAAATAAATCCCAGAATATTATGTAAGGGGCTCACCAAATCTTATTACCCTTCATGGATGCCCATCCCTGAAAGCAGCAACAGTCGGCTGTATGAAATGGAAATAAGGGGCCGGGGGCTTGTTTTTAGTGACAATGATGGCTTGATACCAACTCACAGGAGTCACGGTTGTTAAAAGCCTCCACTGTTCTGCCTGAAGCTCATCTTTATTTCAGGTACTTATATAGCGCTGTCAATTTACGCAGCACTTTACGTATGTATTGTACATTCACATCAGTCCCTAACCCTCAAGGGGTGTACAATCTAAGGTCCCTAACTCACATTCATACATACACATACTAGGGACAATTTAGACAGAATCCAATTAACCTACCAGCAGGTCTTTGGAGTGTGGGAGGAAACCGGAGTACCTGAAGGAAACCCATGCAGGCACAGGGAGAACATGCAAACTCCAGGCAGGTGGTGCTGTGGTTGGGATCTTTAAAGTGTATGTAAACCCCTACATACACCCAGTGAAGTGACTGGCCTCAGGTGATGCAGAGAGATTTAACAAATCCTCACACATAAATTGTACCTGTTTAATTGCAGTCTTCTCTTCCCTACAGCTGTTTTCCAGAATTTATAAAACTTGTCTGAGCTGTCAGAAAAAAGGGGTCGGAGAGATGAAATTACACTCTGCAAAGCTCAAGTGAGGAGAGCTCTGACGCACCCCACTTCACAAAAGGAAGAGAGCTGAGGCTGTCAATCACAGGCTGTGTGCTAGTGCTTCCTTCGCTGTCACCTTTTTTCTCTTGGTGTCAGGAAAACTTGTCAAAAGTGACTCATGCCCATAGCAGAGGAATGAGGCAGCAGAGAGATATGCCACTTAGTGCTCTGTGTTGAGATAAGTACACACTATAGAAGGATATACTTTGTTCAGATTTCATGTCTTAGGTTTACAACCACGTTAACTATTCAGCACTTTCCCAATACCAGTCTAGGCAAGATCTACAATCCTAAACAGACCCCATTTTATAAAAATCTATCAATAAACAATGCACTTACCAGGTAACTCAAAGCACTTGCCAGCTGTCTAGCTACAGTGAATTTCCAACCTGCGGTGATCAGATGTTTATCTTTGCGTAAGCAGACATCCAAAGGCCCATGTTCTATAAACTCCTCCACCATGATGTCTAATAAAAGATAGAACAGAAATGTAACCAAATGAAATGTGAGCTTGAATACACACAAAGCAAACTTGATCTATTAACAAAAGAAGCTCATATGTGCTTCCTTATATTTGTGGTGGATGCTGGATACTCAGTCCATATTTGTCAGTGGTTCTTCCTACATGAGAACTGAGTTCTCTCTATAAACCCTTATATTTTTAGCAGGGGGTAAAAACAAGCAAAACAAAATCCTAATGTGCACAAATGCTATCAGCAGGGGTGTGCACAAATGCTATCAGCAGGGGCGTGCACAAATGCTATCAGCAGGGGCGTGCACAAATGCTATCAGCAGGGGCGTGCACAAATGCTATCAGCAGGGGCGTGCACAAATGCTATCAGCAGGGGCGTGCACAAATGCTATCAGCAGGGGCGTGCACAAATGCTATCAGCAGGGGCACTGATCTACCTATCCATACTAGGAAGGTCAACACATGATATTGTATCCTATGTAAATCTCAACCTGGGTCTCATAAGCTTTAACCTAGTACCTGTCAGGGACCGCCGCGGCTCCGTCCCCGGCGCATGCGCACTAGCGGCGGCTCACGCCGGGACACAAGCACCAGGTCCTGGTGGGCCGCGGCTGACAGAAGGCTGCGCATGCGCAGTAGGAGCCGCGGACGCGCCTCGGACGGCCAATGACAGCCCGGGGGCGCGTCCTGGGCGGCCAATGACAGTGCAGGGCACGATATTTAAAGATGCCCTGCACTGTCACAAATCGCCGCAAGGTCTGACCTGTTACCTGAAGTTACCTGTGCCCTGTGATTAAAGACCCAAATTGTTTGACCTTCTGCCTGCTCCAGCCCTGACCCGGATTATCTGACTACGCTGCCTTCTCCTGTGTTTGACCCGGATTGCCCCTGACTACGCTGCCTTCTCCTATCCCGACCCCCGGCTTGTTTGACCATTCTGCGGACTGACTCCGGTACTGACCCTGCGTGTGACCTGACCACTCTCTGCCTGCCGTCTCTGTACCTCGCCATTCCCCACGGTGACAACCGCCAGTTTATCCTGCCTGGTCCTGCCGGCCTCCTCACATCTGGCTCTATTCTGTCTTACTCTCATCCCCGGAGGCTCCCTCTGCCACTGGTGGTATTGCTTGGAGGTCGTGACCTGGTCCTGGTTCTGCTCCAAGTCCATCCCCACCATCAGGGGCCCTGGTGAAAACGCAGACCGGGACTTAGACTCCACGCTCCGGGTGATTCCGCCTAGTGGGCTGCCAGAGGTACCACCTGGCGGATCCGTAACAGTACCCAGGGTTCAATGAAGCCTGGATGTCCAGGCCAAATTAGCAGCAAAATAGCAGTATGCATCAATTAACTGCAATAATTCTATGACTAATTTGCATACCTAAATAAAAGTCTATATAAGGATTTTATTATACTATATTAATAGGAGACTTGCTATTTTTAATGGTTTGAAAATTAAACAAAAATGTAAAAAAAAAAAAAAAAAATCAAATTTTAGTGTTTGATTACTTTTTTTAGTCATTTTTTTTAATGCCGCAATTGTATTTGACAACTACAGTATTAAACAGATGACAGACGCATCTGTCATTTGCAGGCCTAAAGAGATCTGCGGCCTGCTTGTGATTAGAATATACTCTGGTTCCCAAAGCATTACTGGGAGTTACAGCTGTCAATTAGTAGTCATGCACAGTGTCAGCTGCTAGTTGTCAAAAAGGTAAAACAAATATTAAAAGAATATGGCATTGAGCAAGGCAACTTTATCCACAGATTTTGGATATGAAGTGGTTAGAGTAAACCCCAAGCATTAGTTGTCTGACCGGCCAAAAGGTTTGTATTTATGTACTGCAATGCTGCCAGACAACACAGCCAAATATTGGACCTCCCTTCAGAATACACTGCTGTAATGCAGGCTGATGTGGGATCCACCTCAGAATATGATTGGATAATGAAGAAACAATGGTTTGGTCACCACTGACTACCCTGCTCTGCTCATCAGGTTGTGGAAATTGTCGGCACTGTGTAAAGCAGGCTATGCAGAGCAATACAAAGGGGGAGAGATCTGTATTGTTTACATACAGACCTCTCCCTTGCTAGTGTTCCTCAGTGATTGCCGGGTGCTGGCGGGGAATCTCCGCCCAGGACCTGGTGACTGACAGCTGTAGCTGCCAATAGCAGCGCGGAGAGAGCGGCGCATGCGCCCCCTACTTGAAAATGCAAAATCACATATATATACACACGTGATTTTACGCAGCCCTGCAGCAATAGTTCTGCTATAGGGCGGTAGGGAACCGGTTAAACACATAGCTGCATTTTACATCGTCCTGGAGTTCAGATTTAAGATTTCAGAATATCCTCTGCATTCCCATAATTACTCACTCTCTGATTCCCGCACACAGACTCCATGAACAAACACCAGGTGGATATGAGACACTTGGCTCATTAGACTTGCAGTCTCGAAGAAGGCCTAAAATGCAAGACAGGGAGATGACAGATTAAATCTGCTCGACAAAAAGGTGTTCCAACATTCCTGTTCAACAGAAGTCGATCTAATTCGGTCGGTCCCTGCTCAAGCGGACAAATTTTGTTCCATCTATGGCCATCTTTAGCCTGTATAGACAGAGGTTCTAGGACTACAACTAGGATGAACAGAAAATGAACAATAAATCTGAGCAAAGAGCAAAGCTCATACTTGTAAAGCAAGGAAAACATGCAGCACGTCAGGGTGGAGGAGGATACAAATGACGAGTAAGAAAAGAGTAGAGGATATCCCATGGAAGGAGAACATAAGGGAGAAATAGAACAGTGAAGTCACATTAGAAGACATGCAGACAAGACATTAATTATGGACATTACAAGCACTAGATGAAAATGCAAATCAGAGGCTCTGGCTGCTCACCAGCGCTATGTCTTGGTGACTGAGGTCCAGCACTTTCAGGACCACTCGTAGATCCCGTGAGTTGTTATTCAGCTCACTGGACTCATATTCCGATTCCTCGTCTCCACCACCACTCACCATCAGAACCCCCTCATAAATATTTGTGCGGGTGCCTTGACCCAAATGGGCTTTTCTGTGAGAAGATAAACATTATTTTTCAATAAGCAGATCATTTCAGAAAATATGGGTCTCTATCAAAGAACAAGAAAACAGAAGAAATGAACTGGCAGACTAAAACATATATGAACCTATATGGGCAAGTTTGTGGACAGCTGACCATCACACCTATATGAGATTTTTGGACATTCTTTTCAAACTCCACAGGCAATATTATGAAGCTGACCCTTCCTTTGCAGCTATAACAGCATCCACTCCGCTGCGAAGGGTTTCCACAAGATTTTGGAGTGTATCTCTAGGAATTTGTGCCCAATAAGCCAAAGAGCATTTGTGAGGTCAATTACGTTGAACGAGGAGATCTGGCTCGAAGGTGGTATTCACCGGTGTTCAAAAGGGATAAGGTCAGGACTCTGCTGGCCATTCACGTTCCTCTAATTCAAACTCCACAAATCATGTCTTTATGGAGCTGGACATAGACACGGTTATGCTGGAAAGGAAAGGTCTGCCCCAAACTGTGTGGCCACAAGGTTGGAAGTGCATAATTGTCAAAAAATGTCTACTGGAAACTCCTGATCTCAATTTGTATGAGTGGCCATATAGTTTGGGTGTGATCAGGAGCAGACTGACCATTTGGAAACTTGGGCAGTGCCCGAGGGCCCGGGGTCAGTAGGGGGCCCATGAGATGCCTCTGGTACCTTTTTCATAGGCTTTTTTTAGTTTGTAAAAGAAAATGTAATTCCTCAGACCAGGCCATCTTCTTCCATTGCTTCATGGTCCAGATCTGATGCTCATGTGCCCAGTGTAGGCACTCTTGGCTCTGAACATGGTGTCAACATAGGAACCCTGACCAGTCTGCAGTTACACTGTCCCATATGCAACAAACTTCGATGTACTGTGTGTTCTGCCACTTTTCTCTCACAACCAACATTAACTTTTTCAGCAATTTGATCTACAGTAGCTCTTCTATTGGATTGAACCACACAGACCAGCCTTTGCTCCCTACGTGCATCAGTGAGCGTTGGCTGCCCATGAACCTGTTGTTGGTTCACCGACTTTCCTTCCTTGGACCACTTTTGGTTGGTCCTGACCACTGCAGACTAGGAACATCCCATAAGAGCTGCAGTTTTGGAGTTGCTCTGACCCCAGGGGCGGACTGACCATTTGGAAACTCGGGCACTGCCCGATGGCCCGGGGTTAGTAGGGGGCCCCATGAGATACCCCTGGTACCTTTTTCATAGGCTTTTTTTAGTTTGAGCAAGGACACAGGGGCCCCATGAGTTGTCAGTCCGCCCCTGGGTGTGATTGACAGCTCCTCATGAACATTTGTCAATATAGAGTAATTCTATCTTCTAAGACAAAGCTGATATGGAGGCTTCAACTTCCTGTTGTGAAGTCACAGTCACTTAAGCAAGCCATAGATTATGCAATTTTCTTTCCTTCCACCACAACTGGAAGGAAAGAAAATTGCTAAATTCCCCCATCAACACAATCAGTGTTGATAGAGGAATCCCTCCTACAGCACTATTGTGTTCCACCGGCAGGGAGTTATAGTTGCCAGCAGTGATAGCATGAAAAAAAACCAACAGGCTGGTTGTAGTGAAGTCGATTGATGGATCGATTTTAGTACAATCAGCCGGCCCATAGATAGATCGAATCTCGGAGGGTCCCTGTTGAACCAGCTGAGATTCAATCCACCTATGGCTGGCTTTAGTGTCTAGTAGAGTAACACCACCTGCTGTATTCAAGGACAAAGAAAATGGAAGAACTCTGGAATTACAGAAGTTGGGCCCTGGGATTAAATCCCAGCCAATCGAAAAATAGTAAGAAAAAGGAATCACGTTGAACCCTTTAGTGGCAGAAAAGAAGTTGACGGTTAAATTATGAACACAAACCTGTGAGATCTCATGTTTGCGGATCTGGTGGAAGCTGAGCTGGCTCAAGTTCAGACTTCGTGATACTGCATTCTCTTTGTTGTTCTTCCCCTTCCGGCAGACAGTCAGGTTGGAAACTTCTGCAGATGGGATCAAATATCAGTAACCTAGATTTAGTAACTTGCATAACTTAAATTTATTAAGAGTAAAAAAAAAAAAAAAAAAAGTCACTTTTGACTTAAAGCCATACAATGATTTGTTCGGACAGTGATGATTATACACAGATGGGCAGCACAGTGGCTAAATGGTTAGCACTTCCACCTGGCAGTACTAGGGTCGTTGGTTCGAATCCCAGCCACGGCACCACCTGCCTGGAGTTTGCATGTTCTCCCTGTGCCTGCGTGGGTTTCCTCTAGGTACTCCGGTTTCCTCCCACACTCCAAAGACATGCTGGTAGGTGACTTGGCTCCTGTCTAAATTGGCCCTAGTATGTGTATGTATGAGAGTTAGGGACCTTAGATTGTACGCCCCTTGAGGGTTAGGGACAGATGTGAATGTACAATATATATATGTAAAGTGCTGCGTAAATTGATGGCGCTATATAAGTACCTGAAATAAATAAATAAAATAATAGGCAGGAGTCAGGATTTTTAAAAATCTTGCTGTTCTCTGTGACAGCTCTAGAGGAGCACTTGGACCCTTTACAGAAGTACTGTACATTGAGCACTTAAAAGGGATTTTCAGCTTGTGATGACATTGCTGCTAACACACATGCTTTTTCTTTATCACTTCCTTCTCTACTCTTCACACCATGAACAGATATTCAATGTCTATATATCCTCCCCTGTAAAATACCTGCCTAAAGCAAAGAAAATGCATGATAAACCAAGAAGAAAAAGGAATATTTTTGAGCAGCAGTTTCTGAAAAACACTGACGAATAAATCCGCTAAGAAAGTGGAAAATCCCTGGAAGGATGTCCTTACAATTTAGCAAGAGTGTTACTTTCTTTTCAACAGCAACCAGCCTACACTGTACATTTTTTTTTCATTTTTAATGTACAACAAACAAAGCCTTTGGCAGAATTTTCTGTTGGCTTTAAAACCGTTCCTCCATCAGGTTCTTATAAATATATCTTCACTCCAGGGCACACGCACGCTCCAGGGTTTAATCCATACTAGCAGACAGATTTTGCACAATCAGACAGAAGTAATTATTATTATTATTATACAGGATTTCTATAGTGCTTACAGGTTGTGCAGCGCTTTGGAACATAAGGGCAGACAGTACAGTTACAATACAATTCAATGCAAAGAAGAATCAGAGGGCCCTGATCATTAGAGCTTACAATCTAAGAGGGAGGGTCAAGAGATACAAAAGGTAACTGTGAGGGATGAGCTGATGTTCTGTTTATAGGGATTCCAGACACTGTTGGCAAAGGCTCATGGAAAGAAACAGGAATTAGGCTACGTTCACACTAGCTTTGTCAGCAGGCGTCAGACAGGCGTTTGGGAAGCGTTTTTAACGCTTCTCAAAACGCCTATGAAAATTCTGCACATGGCAGCACACAGTGCTGTTCACAGGGAAGCATTAGCGTCACGTCGCGTCAAAACTGACGCCTTGGGGTTTATTTACTAAAGCAGGAGAGCGCAAAATCAGACTCACTTCTGCATAGAAACCAATCAGCTTCCAGGTTTCATTGCCAAAGCTTCACTGAACAAGCTGAGGTTAGAAGCTGATTGGTTTCTATGCAGAAGGGAGTCTGATTTTGGACTCTCCAGCTTTAGTAAATAAACCCCCTTGTGTCGAGTCAGGAGGAGTTGAAGCCTCCCATTCAAGTCTATGGTGCCGCTCCGCCTGTGCGGTTGCGGAGTGTGTTTTATATAATTTAACTTCATTATAGGAGTTTGTGGTACGGTTTTAACGCTTGGCAAAAGCCTATCAACTGCCTCAAAACCACACATAGGGCATTTTGGGAGCATTTGAGGAGCGTTAAAAACACTTCCCAAACGCCTGTCTAACGCCTGTCAAATAGGGGCATTTGGCAAGCATTAGAAATAAAGTCAAGTGTGAACGAGCCCTTAGAGAGGCTAAAAAATCTTGTCCAATCGCAATTATTTTCCCCATAAAATGCTGTTGGCCAGGGATACTTTTAAATCGCGCATCTCCATACTGTCCCATACGACTGAACTAAGAGTTGTCTGCACTCTTCTCGTCCAGCTCTGGGGTCCAAGGTTCATTTATCAGGAGCCAATGAACATTATCTACATGCTGATTGGATGTCGTCTTTGTGTCCGTTTGTGTGCTTCTGGCATTCTGGTTTCGGCCAGGCCAAAAACAACCTGGTGCATTCACCCTAATCTCACTTACATGTGCATCTGTACAGCAGACACAGGAACATTACACAGCAAGATCGCATAGGCAAAGAAATTGAACTCTATGGTTTTACATATTCCAGCAGCACCCAAAAATCACTAAAACAATCCTCTTCAGCAAATCATTATTTGTGTACTACTGGCCACTAAGACAAGCCAATTAAATTATGGATGGCTGGAGATGGGAGCTAGGAGCCGGAGATTAAGGCCTCATGCACACAGGACATTAACAAAAACTCTCCTAGAAGCTGTCCTCCTGGCAGCAGCGTTTTTGCAGAAAAAATGCCTGATGCTTGTAAAAGCACCTAACACTTTTACAAACGTTTAGGTGCATTAACAAGCGTCAAGGTTTTGGGCGTTAATTCATTTCATTGGCCAGAATATTAATTTATTCTGGCTATTGGAATTCATTAACGCTCAAGAGTGAAAAGCGTCCAGAATTAACAGGCGTTTAGGCGCATTGAGCCACGTCAGATTTTTCTGCCAGGTCTTAATTCATTTCATTGGCCAAAATAATAATTTATTCTAGTCATTGAAATGAATTACTGCTCGAGAGCTAAAACATGGCTAGCGTCAACCTTTTTTTCTGCCAAAACGTTGCTGCTCCTGGACGCACTGGCCCTCGGTTTTTTTCCTGCTGGAAAACCCTACTGCTACTAAAAGCTTCTAAAAGTCTACAGTGCATGGACAACTAGGATAACGTGGAGGGCCGTTTGGGAGCAGTAACAAAAAAAAAAAAAAAAAAAACCTGATGCCCCTAAAAGTGGCTGCATAATCGCCCTGTGTGCATGAGGCCTAAAGGACAAGTTCACCTTTTGCTAAAAAATAATAAATGCACATTTTGCAGCAGGTAAAAAAAAAAAAAAAAAAAAAAGAGCATTTATTAATTTTTGTTGCAGAAGCCTGTAAACCATTGCACCAGCGGTCAGCAGATCGCTGGAGCCATGCAGGTCTCCTGCGGACCTGTCAATATATCTGCATGTCCATATGGAATGTACGGGCAGGCAGATATATTGACAGGAAGAATCAATGAGCTACCAAGGCTCTTCATTGAGAACTACAAGCCAACAGCCACTAAGGCTGTCGGGACTTGTAGTTACTCATTCAGAGGACTGAGAATGAGTGACGCGATTGTGCGGGGCAAAACCCCGCGTTTATTTTTTTCAATTTTGACAGCTAATAGGAGGAGACGATCCCCTTGCTAGCTGCCAAAGTGGCGGAACGGGGGCCAGTCTATTCATAACATGTTACACCCTGAATATGGGAGTAACATGTAATGAAAGGTGAACTTATTTCATTCAAAGCCTTGTACCTGGGATTAGGAAACTATCTACAGTGCCTTGAAAAAGTATTCATACCCCTAGAAATTTTCCACATTTTGTCATGTTGCAATCAAAAACATAAATGTATTTTATTGGGATTTTATGTGATAGACCAACACAAAGTGGCACAGAATTGTGAAGTGGAAAATAATAAATGGTTTTCAAAATGTTTTACAAACAAATATATGAAAAGTGGATGGAGGGCATCTGTAAACAGCAATTTTCAAGTCTTGCCACAGGTTCTCAATTGGATTTAGGGCTGGACTGTGACTGGGCCATTCTAACACATGAATATGCTTTGATCTAAACCATTCCATTGTAGCTCTGGCTGGATGTTTCGGGTTGTTGTCCTGCTGGAAGGTGAACCTCTGCCCCGGTCTCAAGTCCTTTGCAGACTCTAACAGGTTTTCTTCTAAGATTGCCCTGTATTTGGCTCCATCCATCTTTCTATCTACTCTGACCGGCTTCCTTGACCCTGCTGAAGAAAAGCATCTCCACAACATGATGCTGCCACCACCATGTTTCACAGTGGGGATGGTATGCTCAGGTTGATGTGCAGTGTTAGTTTTCCGCCACACATAGCTTTTTGCTTTTAGGCCAAAAAGTTCAATTTTGGTCACATCTGACCAGAGCACCTCCTTCCACATGTTTGCTGTGTCCCTCACATGGCTTCTCACAAACTGCAAACAGGACTTCTTATGGCTTTCTTTA